GTGGGGTTTGTGTTGAAACATGGGCACATGGGTCTAGGAAGATTTTAAGTCTTAGTCATACACAGTACTCACTCTAGCTGCTTTCTCCCTAAGGCTTAATCCGTCTTTTGTTTTGTTGGGTGTTGTAACAAGGCAGTTTTCCCTTGAAAGCAAAGGCACATAGTATGATCCAAGAAAATAAATCATTTAAATTCTCATTGTGGACACAAACGAAGGATGCCATAGCTCAGTGACCATAAGACTCGCCTCGACTGTAAGAAGAACTACAGTTACAACTCTGCCTTGGTCATGACGTGTGATGACTACTCTTAAAAGAGTAGTCACATCTTGACTTTTTAAAGTCGAGACAACTTCACAGAGAGACAGGATTCCTAAGCTGATTTTTAAAGAATGAGCAAAAGCTTGACAGAAGGAAAGAGCATCCCAGGAAGAACAAACAGCAGAGGGAAAAGAAGGCTTATAGCCTTGAGTGTGGCCTGGGCTCAACAACCACACTGGGAAAGGCCTGAAGCTAGAAAAGTACCCTGAGGATAGATTGAGGACTTTACTTAAAACTTCAACTTGATCCTTTATGAACAGGCCCACAGGAAGTTTTGAATGAGTCCAAGAAAGAAATTGACATAGTCCATTTGGATCTTAAGATAATCTTGGCAATAAGAGTGCAATTTCTGTTTTTGGAAACTTTCTGTATAACAACAAGTTCATGTTTAATACTTTAAGTACTACCTTTTTAACTAACTACTGATATTTTAATATTTATTAAGTTCTAACAATGCACCAGAGTCTAATCTAAGCCCTCTTGAATGCAGTATCTTAATCCTCCCAAGAATGTCATTGAAAATATTCTGTAAGTATCCCTCCCTAATTGACAGGCAGAGAATCCAAGCATTAGAGAAAGGTTGGGTAACTGTCCAGGTTCATACAGTAAGTGCCCGGATTTAAACTCGGGCAATTTGGTTCCACAACACTAGTTTCAGCCACCAGGGCAGTGGTCTTTAATTCTGGCTGCACAAGAGAATCACCCCAGGGGAACTTAGAACAAAAACAAAACCACACTAATGCCCAGAAATCTCAATAAAATCATAATTTAATTAATTCTCAATGAAATCAAGACCCCTGGGAAAAGGGTCTTGGCATGTATTTATTTAAAAAGTGCTTGCAAGTTATTCTAAAGGGCAGACAGTGTTGCAATATACTGAGCTATACTATATGGCCACCTTGACATATGGTGGATAGTCCTAAACATCCATATTCCACCACCACCCCAAAATCACAAGGGGGGAAACCTACTAAATAGTAAAATCACAGAAAATTAAGACTTTCATGGCTTTTTTTCCAGTTTTACTCTCACAGAGAAAAGCTATGGCCTTCATCTGTTTTAAGTACTGGCAGGCAGCACAGAAGAAAACTCCAAGGAGGTAAGGGTAAAAGGAAAAGGTGACAAAGGGGTTACAAGATAGGAAGGAAGAGAATGGCTGAAGTCTCGGCTGTTGAAGTAATAAGACACTATCTACTGATGAGCGGTCGGTAATATCAAAGGCACATTTGCAGAATGTTTCCTTTTCAGTAATTGTACAAAGACTCCCTAGCCATTACAAAGCACTTTTCTTCTTGGCAGATTGAAGAATGCTTTACCAACTAAATGCATCCCAGTAATATTCAGAGCTTAGGTCCAACATAATCATAAGTTGCCTTGTTATTATGGAGGTAGCAGCCCCATTTAATAACATATTAAATGCATTATTCATTTATGTAACTCAGACCCAGGGACAGCTGCTGGGATGAAAATAGAACCATTCTCTAATGAAAAAAGCAGGTGTGTGCTTACTTGAGTAAATGAACTCTGTATTTTTGTACAATTTTCTTCTAAATTTCAGGGACAGGTCTGGTAGGGCTAATGTGATGCCATTTTCATCCAGGAAATAAAATGGTTTCAGAATGGTTTTTAATGAGCATTTAAAAAAAAATTACCAACAGCCTTCTCTGTGGCAGAATCCCAGGGGGGATGGATTCGTGCTTTGGATTTAAGCAGAACTGTTGCTGCTGGATTCAGGGAAGCCTGGGGCAAAGATTGGTCAGAACAGCGACAAAGGCATGTACTCTGGCCGATGATGCCAGTGGTGATGGTGTGAGCCCATGCCTTTATAGCTCGCCATGACAGAGTCACAAGTATGCTTGGATGCTAAGTGATTAAAAATCATAACCTGCCTTTTGTGAAACATGCAGGGAGTTTCTGATGCACAAACTCACTAGGATTCCATAATTACTATGTGACATCACTGGTCATTTTCTTGCTACCTTTGCTGGGACCAGAATGTCACCATTCTGCAATGCTGGTGCCTTTTCTCTCTCCATCTCTTTCTCCCACCTACCTTTATTTTCTCCTTTAATCAGGATGCACTCATAAGCACCTACAGTGGATTTTCTTAAATATCAAATGGAGTGATGTTACAAATGCTCAGACACAATAATGACCAGCCAAATTGGGTAGGGATCCTGCTGCAGGAGAAGACATTTGGAGGCTGCCTGAGGGGCTAGGCATTAACCCCTTAGTTTCTGGATTGTAAGGAGAAGTAAGGACACCAAAGATAGGGATTGGTCACAGCTGGGTTGGTGAGTGAGGTGCTTGAAGGGCTTGGGGCAGTGGTAGTAACCGACTGCTCTACAGATATTTTAGCATTTAAAATGGTACAGTCAAGGGCATCTGGGCAGCGCAGTCGGTTAAGCATCTGACTTTTGGTTTCACCTCAGGTCTTCATCTCACAGTTCTCATGAGTTCAAGCCCCACATCAGGCTTTGTGCTGACAGTACAGAGCTTGCTTGGGATTTGCTGTCTCCCTGTTTCTCTTCCCCTTCCCCACTCATGCTGTTTCAAAAATAAATGAATAAACATTAAAAAAAAAAAAAAAAAAACAGTGCAGTCATCCCAATGTGGATCCCCTGACTATCAGCTTTGCATGTCCCCCAGGACAAGGATGCTTTCAAGGAACTTAAACTTCAAGTCACACAGGAAGACAGTCAGATGAGGCATAAATGGGTTCCTAGCATGTAAATCCTAAGAATTCCTTTAAGAATTTAGAGGAGGGACAGTATCCCTCCACTTAAAGAGTCAGTACAGCAGAGGTAAAGAGAGGATGTATACTAGAGACACATTTTCTGGGGTCCTGACTACGTGATCATGAGAAAACTGGTTAACTTCCATGAATCATGACTTCTTCATCTGTATTTTGAGAATAATAATACCTTCCTTAAGCAGAATCATTCAGGATATTTTGAAGATAAGTGGAAAAATTCACATAAAAAAACTTAGCACAATGACAAATATAGTTAGCACTCTCTGTATATGAACTCTTTGTTATTTCACTTATTTTACTCTCCTAGTCAGGAAAAGACAGAGGAAAGGAGTTGTTACTTAAAGCGTAAGTTTTAGGCAGCTGAGAGAGCATGCATGAACTCAGAAAAGCAGAAAGAGCAATATAAAATAGGTACTCTCAAAATGATTGAAAAGAGAGGTTTGACTAGGGCAGAAAAAGTGTTTTGGTGAGAAAGAATTCAGAGACATAATGAAGTGAGCTTGTAGAGGGCTTCATGCACAAGACGACAGGATTTAATGGCTTATCCTAAGGACATTTGGAAGCTATGAAGATTATGAACAGGTCACAGAAATAATAGTATTAAATAAAAATAACTGGTAACCTTTTATAAGCACTTGCTAATCATTAGGGCGGTTTTAAATACTCTGTGTACATTAATCCATCTAATTTGTACAACTACCTTGTGAGGTGAATTAAATACTAATAATTGACCTCGTAGTGATCCATGGTGTTGAGAGTACTTTCCCAGACAGTATTTCATTTCACTTTCTCAACCATGATCTTAAGTAGTCAATCCTGAGACTCAGAAGCAGAGGAAAGGACGTTGGCAAGATCTGAAGGAGTTGGAAAACTTTGGCCTGCGGGTCATATCTGGCATACTGCCAGCATCTGTAAATAAGGCTTTACTGAAACCCAGCTATCTCCATTCTTTTATGCATTACCTGTGCCCACTTTCATGCTGTAATCAAAGATTTGAGTACTTGTGGAAAACACCATATAGCTGGCAACACAAGAATATTTCCTATTTAGCTCTTTCTGTTAAAAGTTTCTCCACTTCTGATCTAGAAAAGTGAAAAGACCTTAGACTTTACTTCTACTCTGACCTCTTTGGGCTCAGGAAGTCTACTATATGAATTCATAGAGTGGTTACTAAGGACCCCACACAGAAAGATAATGAACAGATAACACTGAAGTTCAAAGTCTTAAAGGTTAATTGTCCTAAAAGCACAGATTCTAATTAATTATGAATCTGATGATCCTTTTTTTCTATTAAAGCTAAAATAAGAAGAAATAAACAAAAGAGGAGGGAAGATTTACTCAATCTGCATACTCATCTCCATATTATGTTTTCAGTATTTAGCCAGTATATCCCCCTCATAAAATATCAAGTAAAAACTATCAAATTTAGCTAGCTTTCTGTACTACACCATTACCAGAGCATCCTCTATGGGGTCTAATGTTAAATCACATAATCCATAGCAATCTATTCTTTGTCCAAATTGCAAATTCCCTTGCGATATGTATTACTCATTCTAACCCTCAATTATATATTCTTTAAATTATCTTCTAGATTATTTTCCAGATACCTCATCAAGATTATAAACATAGTGAGGGCGAGGAGCATGTCTACTACTGCTTTGCACTTCCCATAGCTCTGAAGTAAAATGATTCATTGACCGAATAAAAGAAATATATTAAAGTGCTAATAATATGTACAATATGCCCCTATGCTGATTTGTCTTTCTGCTGAGTGCTTCACAGGAATTAGCTCTAATCCTCAGAGCACCGTGACATGTAGTTATTGGTAGCCCTCAGGGCTACACAGTGGTAGATCTAGCTTTAAAAACTTGGGAGTGATGCAAATGGTAATGAGCCAGCTTACAACGTGAACTTTTATCCATTTAGGTACAGGAAAGTGGTTTCCAATAACTGCACTGATGGAGTAAGAGAACAGTACACTGCCAAACCACAGAAGTGTCCCGGGAAGGCCCCGCGGGGGCTGCGGATCGTCACTGCTGATGGGAAGTTGACAGCGGAACAGGGGCACAACGTCACTCTCATGGTGCAGCTGGAAGAGGTAAGACCAGAGCCTGGATCCCTTTTGTCTTCTAAGGCCAGTGATCTTTCCTAGGAAATCGGATTCGGTTTACGTATGTTTTTGGTTTTGTTTACTTTTTTTTAATTTTAAATGTTATTGAAACTTTTTATTTTTTGTTTCCTTTAATTCTTTGGTTTGTTGTTGCTGCTGCTGCTGTTTCGCCTTCTCTGACACATTTCCTCAATTATTTTCATTCCGTTGCAAGTTGTTCTTCATGCTGACCTAATCTGTTTCTTCTCAGGAATTCTTTTTGGAGTTAATTGTGCCTTATTGGCACTTCTAGCAAAAAGGTTTCTCTGAATACATTAATGGTTTTCCTAAAATAATTTAGCACACACGCATGTTCAACCTCAAAGACACTAGGGCTGTCTTCCTCTCTCATCCTGAAGTCTTGGCTTTTCTTTTCAGAAGGCAGCCTGCTGGCCATACATGCAACACTAAAGCAAATCTAAATATAATTGAGCATCCTTTCTTTGACAATTGAGAGTTTTATTTTTGTAGCATCTCCGCAACATCATTATGAGGATCAATTACTATTTGGCAAATTACGGTTCCCTGAGATTTCTGAGTATTTAGAGTGGATAAAATGAAACTTATGTTTTTTAGGATATACACGGGCATTTTTATCATCTTGCAAATGAGGAAGATACTCTCTAAAGGATAAATAATTACATTAAATGATCTCAATTATCAAGCCAGGCAGTAGTCCTGCATTCAACCATGTTCTCTGAGTACTAAGATAGGAGCAGCACTATCCTAGGCCTTGTGAACACAAAGGTATTTAAAATGTTGACAGTGAGAGGTGCCTGGGGAGCTCAGTCGATGAAGCATCCAACTCTTCAGCTCAGCTCAGATCATGATCTCAGGGTTCACGAAACTGAGCTCTGCATCAGGCTCTACGCTGATAGCGCAGAGCCTGCTTGGGATTCTCTCTCTCTCTTTCCCTCTCTCTCTGCTTTCCCAGGTCCTGTCTCCAAAGGTTCTGATTGAGTAGGTTGGGCAGGACCTAAGAATATGCATTCATAACAAGACCATAGGTTATGCATTGTGCTTCCATATAAACACAGCCGCCTAGGTGGATTAGTTGGTTAAGTGTCTGACTCTTGGTTTCAGCTGATCTCATGGTTAATGAGTTCAAGCCCCACGTCAAGCTTGGGATTCTCTCTCTTCCTCTCTCTGTGCCCCTCCCCTACTCATACTTGCTCTCGTGCATGCTCTCTCTCTCTCTCAAAGTAAATAAATAACCGTAAAAAAAAAAAAAGAATAAACAATAAAACAAGGGCATAGTCAAGGGGACTAGCATAGCCTTACAGGCTCTGGAGTATGACTTGAAGGGGAAAAGATGAAGCAGTTAGGATTGCTTTGTCAGGATTGATCAAAATTCATGGTATTTTAATTCCTGTAGGAAAAACAACTGTGAGTTAATGAGTTTGAAACTCCAGCATAGGATGATGCTGATGCTTCTAGTCCAAGGATCACTTAGAGAACTGTTCTTCTAACCCAGTACTCCTCTCTGGTATCTCCTTAATAAGCGCCTTTCAGCTGTATCCAATCTCCTAGATATTAAAGTTCCCCAAAATTTTTCCTTTGGAGCTAGAATGATGCAGACCTGTTTATGCCAATTGGAGTTGCTTACAATTTCATAGAAATAAAATCTTTAGGGACCAGTGCCTGAGGCTATGACATACTAGCTCACATATATTAGAGCCAGAGTGTAGAGAGAAAGAAAGAGAGCTATGAGGAGGAAGAAGACCATGACACAATTGTCAAGAGGATTTAGGAAAACAAAATTCTTTTCTTCAGAGATGGGACATTCAGTGCAGTGAGTGCAACAGTTCATGCTGAATTCCTCTCAAGAACTTCACCAGTTCATACATCACAGAGGAGGTCAGATTTCGGATTCTGAGTTAGAAGACTGAACAGGAAGTGTTGTCTAAAGAGTTGGCTCACAAGGATGGGAAGATCAAAGTTGACTTCGGGTCAAATCCCAGAGATTTGAGAGCACAGAGAAGTAGCACAATATTCTGTGCATTTTTTCCCTCTCTGAGTTGTTTGACAACATCTACATGATACGTGCAAAACAGAAAGTCACTAAAAGGATGAGAAACCAAGCAGAGTTTTTAGAAGTATTACATTTTGAGGAATAAAAATTAGAGCTCAGGGGCCATCAGGGAAGGAAGCTCTGGCAAGCAATACAACACTGGATTCTTGAGACTCCTAGAAAGCTCTATCCTAGGAGTGAGGACACACCATATTTAGATCTGGTTCTCTAAATGCTGAAATCCAATCTGGGATTATTTTAGACTCTGAAAGGGTTAGAGTGATTTCCACCCCCCCTCTAAATATTTGCCAGAAGCTAAAACGAATCCTCTTTAGAGCAAAATAACATAAATCAGAAGTCTTACCTATTTGCGTTTCATATAAAATATTGGGCATTTAATTTAAAATATTACAAATATATCAAGAAATAGGACATTTAGAAGGAAAAAAGCATCAGAAAAAAGAACATTTGTCTGAGATATATTTAATATGTTCATGAATAAGGATCAAGAGAGAAAATGTAACCTCCAGCAGTAATCATTAAGAAGCAGTCAATGAATGGAAGTTGTAGAAATAAAGATGTAATAACTGATATTAAGAAGTTAGATAGGTGGGGCACCTGGGTGGCTTAGTCGGTTAAGCATCCAACTTTCACTTAGGTCATGATCTCGCAGTTCGTGGGTTCGAGCCCCGCATCGGGCTCTGTGCTGACTGCCAGCTCAGAGCCTGGAGCCTGCTTCAGATTCTGTGTCTCCCTCTCTCTCTGACCCTCCCCTGCTCGCACTGTCTCTCTCTCTCTCCTAGAAATAAATAAAAATATTAAAAAAAAAAAAAAGAAGTTAGATAGGTAATGGTCGATTGAACCCAGATAGAGGATCAGTTAACTGGAAGAAAAGACAATTGGAAGTTTAACATTTGGCATAAGAGAAAAAAGATAGAAAATAGAGAAAAGAATAGGAAGGGAAGGGGCACCTGGGTGGCTCAATTGGTTAAGCTTCTGACTCTTGGTTTCAGCTCAGCTCATGATCTCACGGTTCATGAGTTGAAGCCCTGCATTGGGCTTGCTGTTGGTCTTGACTTCAGTGTGGAGCCTGCTTGGGATTCTCTCTCCCCTTCTCACTCCAACCCTCCTCTGCTTGCACATGTTCTCTCTCATTCTCTCTTTGTCTCTCTCTCTCTCTCAAAATAAATAAACTTAAAAAAAAAAAGAATAATAAGAGGAAATGATAAAAGGATATCATAAACATAATTGGAGTCCCAGAGGAGAAAAGAAAGATAAGGAGTCAGAATCATTTTTGAAGAGATAACATGTAAGAATTTGCTGAAACTGACAAAAGGCATGAGCATATCAACATAGATTGGAGAGAATCCACAAACCCCAAGCATGATATATACAAAGGGAAAAAAAAAAAAAACCACACATGTGTAGATATCATATTCAAACTACCAAAATCTAAAAACAAAGAGAAAAATTTAAAAGCAGCCCAGAAGAAAATTAAATGACATCTTTGAAGTGCTGGGGAAAAAAAACAAATGTGAAGGTAAAATAAAAACATTTCTCAAACAGAAACTGAAATGAGTTATATAAGCTGATTTCTATAAAAAGAAATATTAAAGGTAATTCTTCAGGCATAAAGAAAATGATGCCAGATGAAAGTACAATAATGGAAAGACTGAAGAGCAAGAAAGAGGGCATATGGGGGGGGGGGTGTAAATTGAAATCAATAATAACTTTTCAGGCCAATAATGATAATCAGCTATGGGTTTAAAATATATGCAGAATTAAAATAAATGACAACAAATGTGTATTAAAAATGTCATTCGTTTTAAGTTCCATGAAACATCTGTAAGGAAGTAAAAGTACTAAGTTATATTCGACACCAGCAACTCTAGAATAGATGCTTTAATATCTAGAGAAACAGCTAAAAAATAGAGAATATTTAACTATCAAATTATTGACAGGGGAACTGGAATAATATTTAATACACCTCTTTAGTCTAAAAGAAAAGAAAGAGAGAAGAGGAAACATAGTCAAGACAAATAGAATACATACAGAAATGGTAGGTATAAACCCAAATATCATCATTAATTACGTAAAATAGTGCTTTTTGTGGCTTGCTTAAGAAGTCTGTGTCTAATCCAACATTGTAACATCATGCCACAAGTTTTTTCTCTGGCTTCCACATTTAAGTCTGCAATCCATCTTGAATAAAACCAAGGCAGATAGAACTTTTTCTATTTGCATATTCGTTGACGTAGCATCACTGAAGGACAGTTCCTCTTGTGCTGAATTGCCTGGAGCCTTTGTCGTAAATCAATTCAACATATCTCTGTGGGTTTGTTTCTGGATACTGCGTTCCATTGGTTTTGATTTTCAAACCTGTGTTAATTGATCATTCAAACACATTTTAAGTACTCTAGATTTAGAGTCTCTTTTTTTGTTTGGGAGGTTTTTTGTTTGTTTTTGTTTTCTTTTTTCTTTTTCTTGTTTTTCTTTTCTTTTTTATCTTTTTTACTTTTTCTTTTTTTTCCTTTTTTTTTTATTTTCGACAAACCCTTGTGTCGAGGGCTGACTTTAAATAGATCGCAGCGAGGGAGCTGCTCTGCTGCCTACGAAACCCCGACCCAGAAGCAGGTCGTCTACGAATGATTTAGCACCAGGTTCCCCTTAAACGTGCGTTGCATGACGGGCGAGGGGGCGGCCTCCTTTCCTGCTGCGCCGCGATTCCTGGGATGAGGGGCCCTCCGCACCGACCCCGGTCCCGACTCGCGGCGGAGCAGGCCGCTAGATTTAGAGTTAAGTCTTGATAATTGGGCATATAAATCCTCTGAGCCAATTAAAATCACAATTATATATATAATATATATAACCTGTTATGTGTAATTATATGTAATATACTTTTTAAAAATTTAAGAAACAAAACAGATGAACATAGGGG